TCTCGAGCATTGCTATTGAGTCAGACAGTTCCTTATTTAATTGAAAGGCTTTTTGCTCCATTGCCTCTACTTTTGTCTCTACTTGGTCTATTTTTGTTTCTGCTTTTCTGATTCTTTGTTCGTTTTCTGTTATTGATTGTTGGATATCTCCAATTTTGTCATTCATATTTTTAATATCCTCCCAAACTTCTCCAATTTCATTTTTAATCTCTGCATGGAATGTTCTCATTTCTTAATGGTTTTCTACTATTTTTTCTTGTGTTTTTAACAGTGTTTCCTGGATCACTGAAAACATGCTTTGCATGACATTTAGTGTCAATTCCGGTTTTTCTTTCTCCTTTTCTTTTCCTACCATGCTAATGTTTTTTGTTGTAGTGGTGATGCCACCATTGTTGTTGTATTTATAGCTGGTTTTTTCTCTGTTTTCTTTATGGTAGATATTGTTGACATTTTTAATGCTCGTGTAAAACTTTCCCACACTAACATATAATTTTCAGTCGCTAGTTTCCCTTATGGAGTTTCCACACTTTGACCACACTATCATTAATTACTAATCACTTAACATTACTTAGTTATTATTTTACAAGTTTTCACTTCTTATTTTACAGTATTTTCAATCAATCTAGGTTATAATTCATTCACCTTCCCCTTTTTCAAATTTTATGAATTCACCAGACATATATATTTCAAAGTTATAATATAATTTCCCCCCCATGTTTTTCATTATCTTACTGACTATCTAACATATAAAAAAGCAATTTATTAAATATAAAAGTAAGAGAAAAGTTTTTTTTTCCTTAGTAGTACTTAACGTACCTTCTCCGATCTCGTCAGTGGCTGTAAATGTAACTATTTCCTGTAGTCCATTCGTGTCATTCTTCCCCCCGAATCTTAGTCTTTCTCTCTACAATTGCTGCTAACGCCACTCTGTTTTTAAGTCCCAGAGGCACTTCTAAAACCCTTTAAATTCTTCTTAGCCCTCGCTGTTATTTAGGTTGTACGATTTATCTCCTTCTCCGGCTCCCTCTTTCTCCACCACCGTCTCTGAGTCCTAGGGTTATCAGTCCTCCGATATTGCCTAGTCACTCCGTGAGTTTCTTCTTCCTCACGCTGTTGTTCTTTACGTCTTGTTGCGCTTCTATTTTAGTCCGCCGCTGTTAGTTAATCCGTCAGTTTTGCGCCCACCTCAGTCCGCGCTTCTCTGTGTAGTTCCCATATTCCGTCTGGGGCTCCTTCGCTCAACCACTCGAAACTGCTATCCACTCTTGGCTTCACTCTAGGCGGCTGCCATCGCTCCTATCCACCCTGAGGCCGACTTTCTCTCCACCAGCTTAAAGAGGTTCATCCCGTATCCCCTCCGACACTAGCGCAGCGCCCGGGGGCTTCAAGACTTCCCCTTTTATTTCCCGATCTCTACGGGATCGGGAGTGCTCTCAAAGAGCTTCTAGTAGAGAGTTTTGGAGTTCCAGAAACGGCAGTCCCGTTTCCTCACCCCCTTCACGATGACGTCTCCGCCGGAAGTCCTGATTTGTATTGTTTTTCATTACAGAAAGTATTTAAAAAATGTTTATTCTATGAGTATTTGTCAGGACCAAGAACAAAGTATGACATGTGGCATTACTTCTGAATAGTTTCATTTATTGTTCTTCATCTAGAGACAGATGCTTGCCAGACTAAAGCAATCATCTACATAACTATAGATATATTATAAGGAGTAGCAGTTTTAACCCTCCTATTGCCTATCAAATTTTCCAAGCTCTCCTGTCTCTTTGCCCTCCTTCCTGGGAAACCAGACTATATTCTACCATAGTATTTAAGTGGGGCAAATATACTGTAAACAACTGTAAGAAAGAACTACTTTGTAACTAGAAATATAGCTTATTTTTTAACTTTGTCTTCGTATTAGATTGGATTCTGCAAAGTATACACAAAACCTTTTTATGTGTTCAATATCTTACACTTTTTCATTTTATGATTTTAAAATGTTTAAAACATACATTTGACAAATTCAGACTAAAAAGTAGAGACAGAAATAAATGCATGAATACTTACTTTTTTTAAAAAAAGCTTACACATCTTGACACAATCTTAAAAATACATAAACATGAAATAACTTTGATATTCTTTTATCAAAATCTTCAAAGGTATTCTACTTAAGTAGGGTAATAAGTTAATAAAATGGGAAGGTTAGTATTCAGAGAAAACAGAATTGTACAGCTTGAATTATTACCCTGTCTCTCCGAAAGCATGACCCACCAAAATAATAAGCCCAAACTGAATTTCTGGGGGTGGGCCTAATATTACCCCTATCCCGAAAATAATCCCAGGGGGATGGGCGTGGCCAGCATGAGTGGCGGCGTGGGCGGAACTGTTTGGCTGCAACTGCAGCCCGCTGGCCCCTTGGGGCACTGCAAATACCGCTTTTGCCTTTCTCTTTCTGGGCGCAGCACTTCTGCTTGTTGGGCCACTTCCCAGAAGCCGGCAGCTCCATGGCCAGCTGCTTTGCTTTTTCCCTTTTTTTGGGAGGCTCACGTAAGGAAAATGGGGAGGGGAATTTTCCTGCTTGCCATCCTTCTCTCAGTCTGTGCTGAGCTTGAGGAATGGATGACAGGCAGCAAAATTCCCTCCCCATTTTCCTCCCGTTTGGCAAAAAGCCTTCCAAACGCTGAGGTTTCGGAATGGAGGCGATGGTGCATCCAGAGTGCATCCAGCTCACTGAGTCTGGCCTGCTGCATCTCAAAAAAAGTAAGACCGCCTCAAATATAAGCCCAAGTGCTTATTTTCAAGTCTACAAGAAAATAAGACTCGGTCTTATTTTCTGAGAAACACGGTAGTACAAAACATGTTCAGAAATAATCTGGTCATAAATAGTGAGATGACATATTATTTCGACAAGTCATGAAGAAGCCTCAAAGAATCTCTTCAGTCTCAGTAAAATAAGAAATGAAGTGATAAATGAGTTTAAAGAGGTAAATTGATGTACCTTATAGGTACAGCTTTTACACAGGATAATATTTCTTTTCAGTATAAGTATGAAGCATTTTAAGTCACATTGGGTATGATTACATCTCAGCAGGTAACAGTTTCTAACCCACCTCTTAGTTAATGAAGTTTGTCTAGAGGCTATCTTTACATTTTTAATAAATCATTATACTGTAATAAGTTACAATAAATGCAAATTACATGTTATAAATTATTTAAAACATTTATTTCTGCTCTAAATGGTTTAACGTTAAAAATGGATTGTAAGCAGGAGAGCTAAAATGATTATGTTGGAAAGCAAACATCAAATTCCTATGAAAAGCACCTCTTGAGTTTAATATCCTAGCAGACGATCAAAGAACAAATTGAATTTCACTAAGAAAAAGTGCCAACGTCTATATTAGATAACACAAAAGGACTTCTTTTGATATTTGAAGGGATGGCTTCTATAACTAATTTGGTTGTTCTTCATGATATGTTTATGAAATTGACTCATGGATGAATCAAAAAAGACTTCTCAAATAAAATATTATTGATGCTGATTCACTCCTACCCCAAAAGACAGAATTCTGTCATAAAAGCAAAAGGTGCTTCAACACAGTATTAGTTTAAGAGTGTGCACACTTATGAAACCAAATATGTTTGCTATTGTTATTTCCACCCTAAAACATTTTAGCTTATTTTTCAATTAAATTGTATAGTTTATATATTATATTGACGGTGGAAAAAATTCTGAAGTGATTTTTTTTTTACATCTCAAAAACGTGGCATTTTAACACGGGTGTGTAGACTTGTTATACAGCCTCTATTATCTGATTCTGTAAAATCCTTAACTGTCACACCATGAACAATCTGGAAATTTTTCAGATAATCCCACATGAAACTCTTTGAAGTTCAATCATTTTGTAAGTAAGGCAGGTGTTACCAAATTCAAGATCTACCTACCAAATAAACATAGTTAATGTCTTAATCAAGAGTGAAATGATTTGCATTTCATCCTGGTTAAGTGTCCAGATATCCAGAATCAAAAACTGTTCTAGAACATAGAACTGTGCTTAATTTTAAGAATTTATTTTCTTTCCAGCATTGGTTAGAGTCTTATTTCTGGGCTTGTTTTGTCTGAATAAGACTATCACATTTTAGTTTTTTAATTTAAGTGACTCCAACATCATGTGGGAATATATTTGTGGGAATTATGATTAATGGGAACTATGACTCCCATAGACCTAGGATTCATGTTTTAAAAGGTAGGCCATGCTCACTCTATATCAGCTAAGCATTTTAGTTTTCAGTTTGGTTAATTTAGAATTTTTCTCCAAGCCATTCAGCAATGATTCCCAATAAATTAAAGAACTATTCTTAATTCTCAATAAATTAAAGAGCTATTAAACCTGAGAAGAAATAGGATTAAATGTTGCTTTTTCTAAGTTATAACTACATTATTCAATTAAAAACAATTATTTTTAGGCACTGTGGTCCAGAAATTGAGAAGACTGCAAGTCCTAATTTTGCTTTAGACACAAAGCTACCTAGCTGAGCTTGGGCCAGTCATTTTGTCTCAGTATTTGGAAGGAAGCAATAGCAAACCATTCTGAAAAAGCTTGCCAAGAAAACTGCAGGGACTTCTCTAGGTGGTCTCCAAGAATTGAACGTGGCTGAATGGAAAAACAAATGAAAATAAAGTAGCACTCTTCAAAGACTGGAAGAACAAAACATTTCTCCTTTATATTGTAGAAAAAATGTTCTATATTCAGTTAACACAATAGTACTTTACATAAGAATAAAGGCTTTATCATAAGGATAAACCTGGCCGGGTGACTTTGGGCCAGTTACCCTCTTTCAATCTAATTCACTAAGTTGCTTTTGCGGGTAAAATAGGAAGCGGAAGTTGTATTAGGTATGTTCGTTGCTTTGAGATATATATAAAAATAATAAATGTGGGATATGAAGAATTTTTGTAAGATTTCTTAAAATAGCAAGAGAAAAGCTATAGTTTTAGAAAAATTAAAGCTTCTTACCTTTGGTTTTTTGATCTGTGACCTATAAGTAAGAATAAAAACAAAAGTCATTCAGTTTTCGTAAGTTATCATAGTTTTTAAATATTATTATCTAAAGGTGGAATACTAAAACATACAGTGGTACCTGCCAATATTAAAATTTCAGTCAGGCAACTCATTATTTCTATCAGTAGAGATACCGGTAGTATATATGCATTTTTAAAAAAACTTTCATCTTTTAATAATGTGATGTAGCTATTATCATGCTGGGCTAGGACTGGGGACCCCCACATTCAATTCTATTTTGGGCCATTCAATCTCAGCTCAAACCACCTCACAGAGTGTTGTTGTGGTAATAAAATGCATACCAATCCCAATTAAGCTGATCTGACCTCCTGAAGAAAAGGTCACATATAAAACATATAAACACAAAAGTGAACTATGCTATGGAGTGTGGCGATATAGATTAAATCCTGAAGGTGTTGTTTTTTCACCAAACTATTCAATTCATCAGGAAGCAGATAAAATATATATATGTAGGATTAAAGAACTAGTACCAAAAGAGAAATCTGTTCATAAACCATCCATATAAAAATCCAATCTCGCTTATCCTAAACTTTGTTCATTTTAAAAGGAGGGGAAGATATAAATGCAATCTAGTTACTGCTATTGTTAAATATGCAGGCTATATAAATCACTTAGAGCAGTGGTTCTCAACCTTTTCTTCAGCATGACCACTCCTTTAAATACCTTTTGTGACATGGACCACCAAGGCTTAACAAGATTTAAATCATAATATTTCTTCAAGCCTTCACGAACCCCCTATGATGACATCATGGTCCGCCAGAGTCCACAGACTACAAGTTCTACATCAGAACTACTGACTTAGACATTTACCAGCACAGTATGCCCCTAGCTACTTTCTCTCTAACCTCAATATGATATCTTGAATCACAATCCATCTCCCAGTGTAGTACATATCTTACCACAAGCCAATTGATTGTCTCTTAATTTTCAACAATTAACTGCTAAACCAGAAACATTATAATTCTAACTCCATTACCATAGATTTTTAAATTAATACAAATTGTTGTAAAGATTTCACTGCAATAAGCCACAATTTACAGACACTATTAATGCTTGCTTTTCCCCCAAACCATAAAAAAAAAAAAGTCAGGATACACTGTCAGTTCAGATGACTGCTCTTTCATTCATTTCTGAATTACCATAACTTGCCATGAAATCCCAATTGAAAAATTATAACTACCATTAACCTCAAAAGTATGATATATAGCAGTGATGGCTAACCTTTTCCAGACCGAGTGCCTGAAGCACGCACACCTGAAACCCCAAAATGTAATGCGTGTGCGAGCCCTGCGCATGTACCCTGCCCCCCACGCATGTGCACACGGGCCCTATGGATGCGCCACACCCCCCACGCATGCGCAGCAGAGACATGAAGACCAGCTGGCTAGCGGGAGGTGTGCGCACATGCGCAGCGGTGCTGAACAGGGGCGACTGCATGCATACCATCAGAGAAGGGTCTGTGTGCCAATTCTGGCATTTCTGGCACGTGTGCCATAGGTTCGCCATCACGGATATATAGTATGTTTACCAATCATGGTTGGAGAGCAGTAGTAACTATAATTTACTTAATTTAGAGCACAATAAAGTAAACTGGAAAAAAAAGGCAGGAAACTGAGTCATTAATAGTGTCATTTATATCATGATTTAACCACAAACTAGTATGTTACTCTTCCCATAAGTGGGTACAGGGAGAATTTACAGTGGATTGTTTGATTTGTTTAATGCATCATACAAATTAAAGACTTGGGAACTTTGTTTTTAATAGAAAACAATAGAAAACAATGAGTCCATCCCTCAATTTTGTACAGGCAGTATTTGATTTACAACAGTTCATTTGGTGACCGTTCAAAGTTATGACGACATTGAAAAATGTGACTTATGACCTTTTTCACAGTTATGACCTTTGCAGCATCCCTGTGATCAAAATTCAGACACTTGTATTTATGATGGTAGCAGTGTCCCGGGGTCACATGATCCCCCTTTGCAACTTTCTGACAAGCAAAGTCAATGGGGAAGACAAATTCACTTAACAACTGTGTTCCTAACTTAACAACCCCAGTGATTCATGCAACAAATGTTGTGAGAAAACTCGTAAAATGGGGCAAAACTCACTTAACAAATTTCTCACTTGGCAAGGGAAATTTTGGGCTCAATTGTGGTCATAAGTCAAGGACTATCTGTAAGTTTACTGACTTGTTTCTGTTGAAGAAATGGCCAGGAAATCAACATTTGTTCACAACTAAGCTGTATGTTTTCATCCTGTGGGGGCAGAGGTTGTGCAATTGATTTGATTGATATCCAGTTTTTCTGTTCGGAACCAGGACTACATAAATTTAAGATAAAACTAAAACTATAAAAAATAAATACTCGAATTATTAAATCATTTTCAACTTCTATACAATGATTTAAAGCAAAAAGATGGAAAATGTGCTACCATTCAACTATAGTTCTGAACAGTCCAGCTACCAAGTATTAAAGGATGCAGAGAGCTACCTTAGTAGCATTTGGAAGGCCATATTCCCTGTTCAAAATGCTTTTGCATATAGTTATGCAATTGTTTATAACGGGTGTCAAACTCAATTTCATTGAGGGCTGGATCAGCATTGTGTTGTACCTCGGGGAGCGCCAAGGGTGGGCGTGGCCAACTTGACGTCACTCATGTTGGGGCCACCTCTGGTGGCCAAGTGCTACAGCAGGACTTTCCTCAGACCCTCCCTCCCTCTCATTATCTCCTTCCTCCCTGCTTTTTCTTCTTTTTCCTTCTCTTCCTTCTCCTTTCTTTTTCCTTCCCATCTTTCCTTCTTTTTCCTTCCTTGCTCTCTTTCCATCTTTTTCTTTGTCTTTCCTCTTTCCCTTTCTCTTTTCCTGTCCCTTTTTTGCATTCTCAAAGACAAAAGGAGACACATTTCTCCATTTGTTTTGTTTTGAGTTTGTTTTGCTAGCCCTCTGCCAGTGAAATGGAGCCGGGGGGGGGGGGGGGCCCAGGGGCGCAGGCCTGCTGTGCACGGCCCTCCCAAGCTCAGTTTTCGCTGGCAGAGACACTGTGGGCCGGTCCTTTGTTGTTTCCAGGGCGGCCCCGCGGGCCAAATCTAGGCACTTGTGGCCGGATGCAGCTTGCGGGCCTTGAGTTTGACACTCCTGGTTTATAACATAAGGTGTTATAGTAAAAATGTATGAAAATAACAACTCGGGTTAGACTCAGAAGATGTCAGGTTAGATAGCATGTAGGAGCTATTTTATGCTGATGCAGGTACAGTTGAAAAATTAGAAGAATGCAATGAGTAGTTGTTATAAATGCAAAGTAGCTAAGATAGAGTAATTGATAGCTATAAAAGCTATCAGCCAATGAAAAGGTGGTTCTTTCTACTAAAAACAAAGAAGCCTACAGGTGTTTGTTTACAAAAGCAACTCTTGAATCTTTCTCAGTCTGTGAAACAACTATTACATATTAAAGTAATATTTTGAAATCAGTGTTATCACACACTGATAAGGCTACCTCTTAAAAAATCCCATTCTGGAGCTCTGGAAATATTACCAAAAAGAGGGGATATTTCTGCTAATAAATCATTTTTATAGTTATTTCAGGATGGATTACAGGTAGTCCTCGACTTATGACCACAATTGATCCCAAAATTTCTGCTGCTAACACTTCAGTGAGTTTTGCCCCATTTTACAATATTTCTTGCCATGGTTGTTAAGTGAATCACTGCAGTAGTTAAGTTTGTAACGTGTTTGTTAAGTGACTCTGGCTTCCAGAGACAGAAGGTCACAAAAGGGATCACATTACCTTGGGAATGGGACACTGCAACTGTCATAACTATGAGTCAGCTGTCAAGCATCTGAATTTTGACCATGTGACTGTGGGGACGTTGCAATGATCCTAAGTAGCTTTTCAGTGCTGTCGTAACTTTGAATAGTCTCTAAATGAACTGCTTTAAGTCAAGGACTACCTGCATTAGTTCACAACCTTTTGTTAAGAAAAGTAAAAAAATAATAACTAATGTTTTATTATTAATTATTACATAACTAATAATTAAAATATATTACAATGTACAGATATAAAGGGCTGCCCCTTCAAGTATATCCTATGGCCAAAACCAATTCTCTAGATTGGGTTTTTTAAAGCAATATTCTCACCTTTTCTATTCAACTTACCTACTCACAAGAATAATTAATAGGTGTTTTTAGATAAACACACAAGCAGAAAAATATACATAGCAAACCATCACTTGGCTTTATGCAAAATTCACGAGGTATCTTGTGTACTCAAAGGCTTTTTATTGTGAGCATAAAACTGAATGAAGGCAGGACAAAGTAGAACATGGTAGAGGGCATAGAGGCAGTTATTTTAAGTGAACTGCCGATTATAAAAAATGAATACTGAATGACAAAGAGCCAAATACCCTTACCTTCTGAGTAGATTCCTTCTTTTTCTTATCCTCTTTTTTTCTTTTCTTGTCTTCCATTAACTGTTCTTCCTTTTCTTGCTCCTTCTCTCTGTCAAAGTTTAAAATTAGAACTTATTCCTAAGTGTGCGATCTATTCCCAAAGAGTCTAATATACTGCAATATTGACTCTATATTATGTAAATAGAAATGCTTTAATCAATTATAGGGTTAGCTGTTCTAAGATAAAACTTTGATAGAATTGTTTAATTACCTTCATTTCTACAGCATCCTGTCCTACACTCAATGTATATTAGAAGCATGAAGAAAAGATAACTTATGCAGTTTGTATTTTCTTAATTTCAAACTGATTTTTAAAATTGGCAGGTTCAAACTGGAAACATAATTAGTACTTATTTTTGTGAGATGTTTCTCCATCAATGTATATTACTACCTTCAGGCAAATATACTCCAATAGGAAATATGCTCCTAACATGCTTTCGGTCCCAGAATATCACCAGGATTCTCCTCTTTAATATTGAAATGGTACCACTAAAAATATTTATTTTTAATTATTTATATATTGCTTCAATTTTACTATATTCTACACTATTTAAATATATATATAATGATATGAAACAACTGAACAAGCCAGTAAAACAAAATAGCAACAGCTGAGGCAGTGGTAGAGAAGCCACAAAAATACGCCTGCCCCGGGGGTGAAATGCTCCTGGTTCAGACTGGCTCGGGCGAGTAGGTAGCGATGGTGGCGGGCAGTTCGGAGAACCGGTAGCAAAAATCCCTGCCCCCGCTCCCCATGCCCACGATCATCAGAGCTTTTTTTCTTTTAAATGCCTCTGACTATCCCAGCTGAGTTGCCTGATCGGCAGAAGGTTTTTTAAAAACCCTCTGATGATCAGGCAACTCAGCTGGGATCATCAGAGCTTTTTGAAAGCATTTTTTACATAGTTTTACATGTAAAAAATGGTTTTAAAAGTAAAAAAAAAAAAAATGGCCACGCCCACCCAGTCACCACCACCAAGCCACGCCCACAGAACTGGTAGTAACCAATTTTAGATTTCACCACTGGCCTGCCCAGAGTCTGACATAACACAGAAAAGAGAATCTCTTTTTTAAAGTATACATTTCCACAGAGAAAATTTACCTCATGTTGTCACTTCTCTATGGTTCAGTTAAAGTGCTACCCACCCACCCTTGAGCTGGCAGGCGTAACATTTCCTGTCAATTCATATCCTACCTCTAGTCTGGTTTATTAGCAAGTAACTTGAGTTCTAATTTCAGGTGTGAGATGCATGCATTCCTCTTTTCTGAATACGACTAGACGGTGGGAAACAGTATGCCAATATCAGCACTACTTTAGTAGGCCTCTTGGAAAATCAGCTCCTGGCAGACTTCTTTTCAAGCTAAATCCACTGTGACCCCCTCTCGTCAGACAGCCAACAGAGGTGGGGTTGAAGAATAACGTTCTCTCCCATTTTACTGGGCAACATTTCTCTCAAGGGTATGCTGATTTAGTACAGACTAAACCTTCTGTCACAAGCTCAACCAGCAGATGATCTTTGGAGCTGCCCAGTAATGAAAAAAAACCCTTTCCTCCTTTACTGATCTTCCACACCAAGGATTGATTATCTGCCATGTGTGTTTGCTTTGAGTATGGGTTTACTGTTCTTACTCTTCCAGAAACTACAGGCTGATAATCTGCAGAGTCCAGTAGGTAGGGTGTACAGTGGAAGAGCTCAGTGTGAAAACTCCCCCTCTTCTTAAAACAGAATGCAAGAAAACTGAACCCACTGCATAGGATCATTTTGTTCTGTTACAAATAGCAACTCACAATAGAGTCTGCACACCATGAAATTGATAAAGAATGTTCTTGTCTTATGGAAGTTAACACCATTTTAATCCTGGAACACCCAAGGATAGTTTAAGCTATCTCCAATATGGCTTGAGATTGAGATGAAGGCAATATTATAGAGGCATACCAGAAAAAAAAAAGGTTGCTAGGGAATGTTTATCCTATATTTAAGAAATTTTCCTTATTCAAACTGATGTAGACTTTGCAATATGTTGCTCAAGCAGTAGATGCTCCCTTGAACATTGTAGAGACTAAAGGGTGACACAGTAGTCCTTGATTTACAATCATTTGTTCAGCAATTGTTTGCGTTATGGTGGTGCTAAATGAAAGGACTTATGATCACTCCCCAAAGTTACATCTATTGCAAACCCTCCGGTCATGTGATCAATTGTCAACTATTTGATGCTTGACAGTCAACCTGCAGTTACAACTTACAGGGATGATTCAACTCTCCCCCACCTATCTCCTTCCAACTATGCCTTTTTGGTTCCCTGCATTCGAAGATCCCAGTCACCCTAGCTAACCTTTGCTGTCTTCTCACTCTGGTTGCTGACAAGCATGCGTAGTCTGGTCCCTTGCAAGGCAGCTGCTGATTGCAAAAGGCTTTCTTCCAAAGGTCACACATGGCAGTTTCTTTGCTGGAACTGGAGAACACAGTTTCACTTGGCCAGCAGCTGCTTTGCAAAGGGCCCTGTGCAGGCATGCCTTGTCAGCAGTGAGAGCAAGAAGACAGAGATTAGCTGTGGCTGTAGAATGCAGGGCGGCAGTGATCTCAGAGTTGAGGGTACCTGAAACTGTGTGGCTGGGACTTTGCACTGTGTGATTGGGGCTTCCTGAGCTTTGCACTGTACTGCTGGGCCTGGTTAGGGTGGTGGAGGCTTCCTGGGGCAACTGCAGCTTTGTACTATACTATAGCTCAGGGGATTCCTCTGTGTACACACATGTACACACACACATCCATGAAAAATATTTTTACTGTTACTTATTTTATCTTGCTGTGCTGTGCTATGTTGATGTTATGATTAATTTAAACAGAAGGAGAGAAAGAAGGAAGGAATTATACAGGAGAGTGGTATAGAATCTGAAACTCCTGAGAGTAACAACAATACTTATTCTCTATCTACAAATTCCCTATCTTTTCCTAGAATTCTGCTCCACCTCTGAAATTCAGGCAGTTACTTTTTTCTTTAGAAAAAACAAAGTATATAGAAGGAAGGGAAACCCAAAGAAGTATACAATGTTGCTTCCTAGCAGAAATCCAAAGGAGCCTCCTAATCTCCATCTTTAAGTAATATATTAAGTTAAAGTTCTTGCTAGATATATTACTGGGAAAATATAATAAAAGAACTACATATTTAATATTACATGTGATAACGGCAGTGAGAATTCTGCATGCACAAAATTGGAAAAATGGAAGTATACCTATAGATGAAAATGTAATAAGGAAAATATTAGATTGTGCTGAAATGGACAGGTTAACGATGAAAATTAAGGATAAAGATGAAACAGAGTACTATTTAACTTGGGACTTATTTTATAAATGGTTAGAGAATAGAAGCAGAAGTTAGTAATTTATAATTAAGGACAATCAATAAAAGTGTGTGTAGATTAGATTGTATCGGGCGATTAGAAGGAAAGATTACATTGTATGTATTATTTTCATATTATGAGAAAAATGGTTGTAATTATGGTGTGTATAAAACTGTATTTAAAAGAGATGTGATACAGACAGTACACTGCCGTTGCAGAAATGGAAACATTATGTATAACAAAGGAAAATGCACATTAAAACAATTTTAAAAAAGTATATTTGAAATAATTGATATAAAGATGGGCTCTTTTACTTATCTTTTAAACATGTTTATAAATATCCATTTTTCATTTTTAAGTTTAAATTTAAACACAATTTAAATTGGGCAGTGGTCGACTTATGATTACAATTGGAACTGGAACTTCCCTACATAAGCTAAGAAACTGCTGTTGTTAGGCGAGGACCTCAGGTGTCTCATATCTTACCACATTTGTCTTCACTTCAACTCCTCCCACTTGCTTATCTTCCCCATTTTTATCCTTTTGGGTGCCCGCAATGCTACATATATCCCTGCTTCCCCCTCCGTCATCAGACAAGGCGGCAATGGTTCCCAAGGTGAAGGTTGAGCCATCATGGGAGGTGTTGTGTGGTGTGCAGATTTTACAACCCTATGCCTGTTTTCCAGGAGTGCTTGCCACACAAGCTGCAAAGTGCACAAAGTGTCTCCCAGAAGCCTGTGCCCCTCCCCTTCCCCACATTCTGCCCACCCCAAACAATGCCTTTTATAAAACCTTCACCTTCACCAAGACAGCCACTGCTGACATGCCTGCTTTGGCCGTTGATGGAGTGCACCGTACCTTGCCATGCCACTGCCTCCTCCCTAGCTAGGTCTGGCAAGCTCCCTTCAACAGACAAGGCTTCGTTGCACTGCCTCCCTCACCTTATTCTCAAGACTGCACACTCACCCAGTGCTTGGATCCCAGGCCACCAGCAGAAGGAAGAAGACAACAAAGGTTAGATGTGGTCAATGAGGGGCAGTGGTGGTGGGCAGCAGGGGTATGTGGTAGAGTGCATGACAGAGATGAGGAATGATAGGCAGATAATGGGATTGGAATGTCTCTAGTCATGCAGGTGAGCCTGACTTTTGATCATATGACCACAGGGCAATAGTTGTAACTTCGGGCATGGGTTGTAAGTTCCTTTGTTCAGCACTGCTTTAGCTTCAAACAGTCACTGAATGAATGCCCATATGTCCAGTGGATGTCCCAAAGGTGCTTTTTCAAGAGACAACTGGACTTTCTGGTTCCAAGAATGGATGAGAAGCGAAACGTCTTAAAAAAAACAACAACAGAAAGTCCAACTGCCTCTTGAAAAAGCATCTTTGGGACAACCATGACCTGGATGATTGAGAATCTCCATAGACATGTCCAGTAGATATTCACATTTACATTATCATTCTTCAGTACAATTCTTTTACAACTTAATTGTAAATGCAATTTAGAAGCATTAAAACTATTCCTCTTTAACAATAGTTAACAAGTGCTGATAAAAGAAATGTTTTTTTTAAAAAAATCAAGAGCCATTATGTCTTTAAGTCTCTTCCCTAGGTTTAACAAAGGTGACAAACTGTCTTTAAAGATCTGCTAGAAATAATGGAAAATTTCAGACAATATTCATAGAGTGTTGAATCCTTGACGAATATAGTATT